AACTTATTTAAAATTTTTTGACAGTCTCTACTATAAAAAAATTCACTTCTAGAAAGTTATTCAGATAAGAATTGTTTACAGTCCAGGACACCTTAAAGATGAAAAATCAAAAGGTTTTAAATTTTTCCACACCTCCATTTTTAAAATACGGATTACTTTTGAAAATGACCAACAAAATGGGCCTTTTTCATGTGGACGTCTACATATATATTTTTCATGTATACAAGGGTGTTCATCTTTTTTAATAGTGCTTTTGACACTTTTTCTTTTCAAAATTGAAAATTTTAAAAATTAACAAAATGGCGGCCGTTTTTCAAAAAATATTTCAATTTTCTCCAAAACTTTATTTTCTTTTTTTCTGAAAATTTTTTTGTGGTTTCTAGATAAAAAAATAACCCTTTCAAAAAAGGTGATTTTTCTTAGTAAAGTTGAAAAATTTCAAAAATTAACTAAATGGCAGCCATTTTTAAAAATTATTAAAAATAACTATGTTTATTTTAATATTTATTAATAAATAAAATATTAAAGATTAACTTTACTAAGAAAAAGTCACCTTTTTTGAAAGGGTTATTTTTTATCTGGAAACCCCAAAAAAATTTTTAGAAAAATAAAAAATAATGTTTTGGAGAAAATTGAGATCTTATATTTTTTGAAAAATGGCCGCAATTTTGTTAATTTTTGAAATTTGCAATTTTGAAAAGAAAAAGTGTCAAAAGCACTATTAAAAAAGATGAACACCCTTGTATACATGAAAAATATATATGTCGACACATTACTCAAAATAATGAGTTTTTTAATTTTCTAAAAAAAATTACAGCGACTTCCAAAAAGTTTTAGCGAACATGAGACCTTTTGGAAAAAGTTTCTTTTTCCATCTAGAAACCACACAAAAATTTGCAGAAAATTAAAAAATGATGTTTTTGAGAAAATTGACTTTTTTGATTTTTTAAAAAATGTCCGCCATTTTGTTAATTTTCAAAATTTTTCAAATTTTCAACTTTGTAAAGAAAGAGTATCAAAAACACTACTAAAATCAAGAAACAGAATTGAAAAATATTGATTTTTGTAAAAACTAGAAAGATTTAAAAATAATTTTTCAGCTGTTTAGCTGTAAAATCACTATGTGCCTTAAAATTTTCAAATACTCATAACTCTGCGAAAAAATTTTTTTTCGACAAACCAAAAAATACGTATCTCTTTATTTGTCCTAAAAAACGAGAAAAATCATATTAAACTTGATTCAGAATTTTCAACCTATTCGCCCTGCATGAATTGAAATAGAAACAGCCTTATATTATTTTTTCTCTATAAAAAATCGATTAATTTGTTATTATAGAATTAGTAATTTAAAAAATAGCTCCCAGGGATACCTAAGGAATTATGTGAAGAAGTACTGTACCAAATAAATTTCAGAACGATTGGTCCAGTAGATTTTGAGTTATGGCGTACACGAACTTTAAAAATAAAAAGTTTCAGAAAAACGCTTTAAACTTTTAAGGACCAGAATAAAAATATTCTACATTCAAGTGTCTACTTTTGTTTTGAAAGGATATTAGAAGAGGATTTTGTTCTCTAACTATGAGATTGCTTTTTTAGGGTGTATTTCGAATAATCTAAAAATAAGATTTATACAACAAAATAGAGCATTTGATTCAAAAATAATTTTTCTGGGTGTATATTCTTAAAACCTGGATAAAATTTCCAGGTCTGGAAAAGCTGGAAATTTCAGGAATATTTATTTTCGTATCAAGGGCGCAAAATAAGTGATTGCACCGAGGGCGAGATTTGGAAAACCCGTGGTGCGAACAACGTTTTTTGTCCTACCTGCATGGAAAGTATGGAAGACAATTTTTTTGCTGACTGTAAAGAGGAAGCAAAATGTTGATCTAATGTTCATTTAATTTATAACAATCCCCCATCTTGTTTATTTCTTGCTTATTTTGTTTTCTCCAAAAATTGTAGTTTTTAATTTAAATTATGTTTGAAGTAAAGAAAAACTTTCCAGGACTTATTAATAATTAATTTCTCAAACTAATCACATTTATTACACCACATTATACAACGATACACTGAATAATAATTTAAGCAAGCTAATCACAATAATGTATAGAGGCGATTGAATTTATTCCTCTAAATAATCTCGAGGTAAATATCACGTTCTTCGTGAAATTTATTGTACACTTACAAATATTTTTTGTTATCTTAATTATTACTCATTAGAAAGATTATACAATTGTTATTTAAAAAGAATAACAGTTTTAATATTGTTTTTATTATCTAGTTCAACAATACAAAGTTTTTTCTTCATCACTTATAGGAATATAAGAAAATTTCGTCACTTATAGTTAATTTTTTTTTTAAGAATTGAAAGTTTTTGAAAATTGAAAATCAGTGTTATTATCTTTTAAGTCATTATACTAATTTGTTTATTATATTAATCACTATTTCGTAAACTTTTAATTTTTTCTAATTTCTTAAAATTTTTGTTTTCATTAAGCCGAAAAATTTGTAATTTATTTTTCAGTTGAATATGAACTGAAAATGTAACATTAAGATTTTGTAATTTGTTTTAAATAATTTCATCTCTTCCGATTTAATTTTGCTCAGAAAAATTTTTATTACTTATACAAAATTTATTTTTTTATTTAAAAAAAACACTTGTACTTTACTAATTTACACAAACTTACAAAAATACTAATTTTTTAGACGTATAATATTTTTCTAAAATGAACATAATTGAATGGAAATAAATGTTGCTATTGTATTTTTGGATAAAATTGATTTAATATGACGAATGTAGATATGTTTCTCTTATTTTGTCTCGCATTTTTTAAGGAGGATTATAGAGACGAACGGTTTAAAAGGCTGATTTTGAAATGATTTTTTAGCTTCTGTCGGGGGCGTGGTATCCCTGGATATAAATTACTTGTTCGACAGTTTTGCGCGTATAGTAGATTTCAAATCTGTTTATCTGCGAAACTCCAGACGACATATCACTTTATCGTTATTTCGCGGAGTTTCAGACTGAAAAGACACATAAGTCACGACTAGAAACGCCCACAACAAGTCGCCTTTCTCATTCATCTCAACTTCTAATATAAACTATCAAATTGTCTGATACATCGACAGTTACATTTTTCAAAACTAAAATGACAAAAAGACGAAGAAAAAAGCGGCCTTTTTAAATCAGAAAAGAATCAATTTATTCGCAGTTTATCTTCAAACAAAGTAAATAATATTTTTCCTAACTTTCATTACATTAATCAATCAAGATACTTAAATGATTCACACAAAATTTAAATATCTTAAAATAAGTAAATAATTTTACAAGAAACTAAAATATAAAATTCATCCACATTAATAATAATAATTAATACACTTCAATCTTAAGTATGAAATGTTTTGATACAAGTTTAAATTAGTGAAAATGGTGTTGAGGGTCAAAAATATTTAAAATCGCATAAATAATAATTAGAGTTTTCATGAATCATAAATTTCAATTTACGCCAACAAGTTAAAATTAATTGCCTTGTTTCTAATCAATGTCTAGTAATTTAGAAAATTTTTAGTTACTTATCTTAAAAATAGTTTTTCAATGTCTTTAAAATTATAATATATAATAATAAAAATATAAATAATTATAAATATTTTTTTGAATTAAAAATAAATAAGTTTTGAAAGTAGGTAAAATTAATTTAATAAAAAAATAAATAGTTATAAAATTTAATAATACTATATTTTCCAACTTGTATTATATTATTGTGTAACTAAAGATAAAAACGGGTAAAATAAGTCATAAATGTTAATAAAAATTTATTTAAAGTAAAAAATAAATCAAATATATTTTTTAACAAATTTTGAAAAATATTTTAATTAATTGCTATTAAACAAAATAGTTTTTAATGAAAAAAATAGTAAACAGGTTTCAAAATTAATTTATACAAAATTTTTTTCGACAAAACATTTATTTGCGATAATTTTAATATCCTACTCTGTTTATATTTAAATAAGTTATAAATTACTCTATAAATAATTTCTCCTATTTTATATAATATATTATATTAATATAATATATTTTTATAATAATTAGTATAATATATTTTATGTGATTAAATAAAAAGACAAAAATTTCATATTTTAAAAATAAATAATACAGTAATAATACAGTTTACAATTTTTATAAAAAAAATTTTCCAATAAAAGAAAATTATGACAAAAAAGAAAATAAAATACTTATAGAAGAATTCGTGTTTATAAGTAGGATATATCGTTTTAACTGTTTACTATTATTAATACAATTAATATCTTATAAATATATAAAATGTTTGTAAATTACGTGAATTGGTGAGAATATTTCATGTTTTTTTAATCTGAAATGCAAGAATTTTTCTCGATATCTTTTTTCATTTTTATTACTTCAGTCAACAAAAAGTTCTTAGAGTTTTGTTGGCCAGTTTTGTACGTATAACGTCGATATCCATATAGCTTTTCAAAATTTTAACCATTTTTAATTTTCCTTTCTTTTAAAAAAAAAGTTGTATAAGTCTTTTTTTAAAAAGAAATTATTTAAAAAAAAATTACGTCGATAAAAAGACGAAGTTTTATCCTTATATTAAAAAAATATACAACGAAGTGTTTAAAAATTTTTTGTTATCGTATTTATATTATTTTAATTTATAATATACTAATATTGAGAAGATCAGCGCGAGTTGATAACAAGTATCATATAAGAGTATTACCAGAAAAAGACTTAAAAAGAAAGAAAGAAAAATTTTTCAAATTCGATTAAATTTTTTATACTTATTTTTCGATTCTGTTTCTAAGATTTACTTTTGATCGAAAATTTTTTGATTTTTTCAATGAGAATAGAAGAAAATGGAATAACATTTCACTTTAAAAAAAGAAGAAAATAGAATTCAGAGAGCTGAAGAAAAATAGATTTTTTCTATCAAACAAGATAATTTTTTAGGAATAAAAGTTTCTTTAAAAATATATGAGATATTAAAAGTTATAAAATTATTTAATAAAATAAGTTGAAATAAAATATTTTGTTTAAAAATATAGAAATTTTTGGAAAGAAAACAAAATTTTATTTCCATTTTCATTTTCATGACTTTGAAGATTGAAATTTGACGATTCTGTCATCGTGATTATAATCTAGGATTAATTAAGCGCTCTTGGCTTCGACGATAGCAAACGTAGATACTTAAATAGATAAATATATATTTATATATATACATAGTATGAATACTAGCGTCAAAATTAAAGTGTAAATTTTAATTTTGAAACTCGACACTTTACAAATTTTCATTTTATCGCTTTTGCGAAATATTTTAACTTAAGAAAATTATTCATTCTTAAAATTAACTTCTATTTTTTAGTTAAATTTAATTTACGTGTATTAAATATTATTTAATAAATAAACAATCGAGTTTCGATGATTTAAACTACAAATTATTTCATTTTCCAAAAAAAAGAAAAACGTGTAATAAAATTGGTTTCGCTTTTTTTCATACACAATTTTATATATAAAATTAAAAAAATAGATGACTATTTAAAATTCACTACTTCACAAGAAATAATTTTTTTTCTTAACGTGTATATTCAATTATCGTTTATAAATTGAAGCTACGAAAGCAAATAAATTTAATACTAATAAAATTCTTTTAATTCGTAATTAATTTATAATAAATAATTTTGATCCTTAATGGTACAATAATATATAATGACAACAATAATTTGTTTTATAGTTACGTGTCAATGGAATTTTCGTTTTAATTTTGTGAAGGTTATTTAAAAATTCTTTTTCAATTTATGTCAAAAATTAATTAACTTTCTCGTAGTGAAATTTTATGATTTTCGTTTCTCTTGGAACAGTTTTATCATTTTCATTCAATCGCTTTGACTCTTTCTCAGACGGTGAATACTAAATATATTTATATTTTTGCAATATTAACATCGTGAAACTTAAGAGCCATTACAGTTTTTTTTGAGAGACAAGACTGGATTTTCAATGCTTTATTAACTTTCAACTAATATATTAATTACGATCTTTTGTTAAAAATAAGTTGTTATATTTTGAAGCGTTTGCCAAAAAAAGCATATACATAATGAAAACGTGAAAATATTATTTCTTTACAAATTTTTAAAATCAATAATAGTTGAAGTTAATAGTAGTATTGATCACTTTGCAAAATTAGAATTAAATTTTCTTCTGGAAATTATAACGTTAGAATAAAATTAGAATTTCTTTAAGAAATTTATAAACCATAAAAAATTTAAATAATATAATTTTAACAAAATTTTGTTTCTAAAAAATGTAGCCATAGGCAGAAAATTTATTATTAAGAGTAATAGAAGTAAAATAAAAAAATGGCACAGAATAATGTTTACCACTGAAAATTCGAGAAATTGAAACAATTTCTTAACAAGTGATTCTAAGTCGCATTTTACTCTACACCTTTAATATTATATAATTATCCGCAAATCGTCGATTTATTAAATAAATATATAATATATATACGGCAATCAGCGCAAATTTTTTGCAAACTACAACATTCTATAATCCTGTATTCCTGCAGGCGTTACACATCATTTATATTAGCAATTAGCATCATTTGCTTTATGGTGCGGCACGGAAATTCTCAGGCTTCAATCGATCGCATCTGATCGTCATTAAAATGGAAAAAAATTAAAAACAAAGAGAATAGCACTGAAAAAATTCGGTTCATCATGACGACACCAGTGTGACACTTTTCACATTATTCGACTTCATTTTGTTAAGATGAATATTTATAAATCTAGTTATTTAATTTAATGTTCGTTATTGAATATAATTAGGATTTCATTCATCTTGTTTTCTTTAAATCCCTGATGATCTTAAGTAAGAGTCGCTGCGGTACACACTAAGAACGAAACCAACTATTTGATTGACCAATATTTTCGTATCAATTATATTGGCAATCGAGTTTTTTTTAATTGTCAAGAGTTAACTCTTCTTGTGAATTTTATGGGGAGCTGCCTCCAGGTGTCTCAAAAAGACGAGAGAAGATCTTCTGTTTATTCTCTTCAATGACAGGACCTTGCTCTTCGTTCGAAGCGACGCATTCGACGACGCCATTCGTCACGCCACTCGATAACGATTGATTTTTCTGTCACTGTCAGGCCCTCGTTACTTCCGTTTTCGCTCTCCTGGCCCAAAATAAGGTAGGATCTAAAAAACACAAATTTATTAGTTTCCTTGCTTCTACAATACCAAAAATTTGAGACGTATTCTGATTCTCTAAAGAAAATTTGTTAGAACTTTCATTATAGGGGAGTGTCGCTAGGTACGAGACGGGTTTTGTTTTTGACCCATAAATTGTAAATGGGTAAACGAAATTGTAAATAAAATATTCCGTTCGAAAAGTAACTTAAACACGCAACTTTTATTTAAAGAAACTATAATGTTCAGATGGACTCAAAAAAAGTTATGATCAATTGAGGGTCCCTATCAAAGAACCGGTTATAAGTTTTTGAGACTCAAAATTCTCGACCTCTAAATAAAAAAAGGATTTAAAATTTTAATTTCTTGAAAACATTTTGTATTGGTATAAAGATTACCCAAATGTTTCTCAAAAAATTAGGATTAAAAACAGTTTAATTTTTTATTTACAGGGCAATGATTTCGAGTTTAAAAAACTTATAACCGGTTCTTTGATAGGGACCCTCAATTTTCAGAGCACATCGCTTTTGTCAACAAAAAAATGTGTCCAGTTGTGAGACACTTATTAAAAATTACTAAAATTTAAAAAGTTAGACATGAAATGTTATGTTTAGTAGAAATAATTTAATATATATTAATAATTGTTAGTTAAAAACATAAAAAATTCTGATTTTCAAAGATTTTAATTTGAAACCTTTTCAAAATTAAATTATTTCTAAAAATTCAAGCTGTAATGCTTTTAATATTCAATTATAATATAAAATTTCAACTAAAATTCATTTTTATTAAAAAATGCTATTAGAATTCAATTTTAAATACAAAGAAATTATTTATTGAATAATTGAATATTTCTTAAAATTTAATTCTTTTGACGAATTTCAATAACATTTTTAAGAATAATTACATTCTTCTAGGATAGCCCTTCTAGGAGGCCCTGGTCAGCGCCCTATTTCAATTCTAGTAAACACCCTACTTAAGGTGTTCCATTCTTATCAATTACGCCTTAATTGTTTTATTCTAGGAGGAGGGAGGGGGGTCCCTAAGGTCTATATTTGGACCATTTGGGATTTTGATTTCAAAGATTGAAATGTACATTTTTACAAATAAGAATTATATTTTTGTCGATTTTAGACGAAACACTTGTATAGCCAAGTATATAAGGCTAAAGACAGCGTGTAAATTATAACAACTGCACAAAGTGAATGTCGGTTGTTACAATACCAAGAATCATCTATAACATTTCTAAATTGAAGACAAATAATTTCTTATAACAACTTTGATTAATTATTCATAATTTTTGACTCAACGTAATAGTACGTGACAATTCCATAGAGATGGCAGCATTAATATTGTTTCGAAATGAAAGAAAATTAAAAAAGTTTTTTTTCATTAATTTTGAAGACAAATTTAGAAAAACCATGAGATTTTTCATAAAAAATGAGTGTGATTACATTTTTGACAAATATTTTACATTTCAAACGAATCTGCTGAATTTTGGAAAAAATATCCGTTCTCATTATCACTTGTAACAACTGCACAATAGGTATACATTTTTTACAATAAAACACTTTATTAAAAAAGTATACACTAAATGTGGACAACCAAGGCAGTTTTTTAAAGCTTAATTCTCATAGAATTGATAATAAAAAAAATTAACTTTGTTCAGTATAAAGGTCTATTAATTATTTAAAAAATATTAGGCAGAGAAATATTTACTTTTGGCCTCTAAAAACCAATGTGCCTATTTTTTTACTTGTAAAGATTGCATATATGTAGTGTGGGTACATGTGCTACGGTAGTATTTGAGTGTCTTGGTAACGTGACAGTATAATTACTTTGACTAACATTTTCATTTCCGTATATAAAATGTGATTGATTCGAAATGACATGCGTGAGATTGTAAAGTGTGATAAGAGAGTCTTGTGCGAGCTGTCGCGATGATCAGTTGTTGTTTTATGACGAGAACACTTTGCGTGTTGAACTTTTAAGAATGTGTAAATTTCCATTTCCAAACCTTTGTATATTTTAATTGGATTCAATAATAAATGTCATCTTAACTGAAATCCTACAATTGGGGACTCAACCGGGATGGAAATGAAAATTTTGTTTAATGTTGACCGTCGAGAAGTCCGCGTCGTGTAAAGTGCTGAATGTAACCACGTGTTGCAAAATATTGTGACTGTAGCTGTTTTGTGATTGTTATAAAGCATTTTCGAGTCCGCATATTTATTGTTGAACGAAAACTGTGAAGATTTAGACTCCTGTGACGATTTTGTGCTGTTGAGAGTTCCGACGCTGATAGCGTGGGACATTTTGTGCTGAAAGTGTGTAAAGATGGCGGATCCGAATGTGCTTAAGGTAACTTGCCTAAAAAAAAATTGAGACAAGAGGGACTTTCGACGGCGGGTACCAAAAGTGAGCTGATCAATCGGCTGACGGAGTGGGACCCGACGGGAGCGTGGATCCTGGAATTAATTCAGCTTCCTACTCATGTTCAAGTTGATGATGAAGGTAAAAATGTCGGGAAAGACGATCATCGTGACGGCGAAAATAGTAATCAAAGCCAAGCAGGGCTGATGATGACTCACCAGAAGGAGTTGTGGGGATTGGCCAATAGATCTCGCATCTACGCTAATTTCCCATATATAGATCTCTCACAAGTGCAATACGGGCTAGTCTTGTAGCATATATACAAGTTCCGAATTTGCTTCCCCCGTCTAGGGCAGGTCTCCCACTACGTAGCCTTACTGATGAGTCCAAGTAGTGGGGACCGGGACGAAACGATATAAAGTGGTCTTCATACCACTCTATGGATGATATACTTTTAAATCTCCATAGAGTTGGAAATGTACAAGAGAGAGAGGGATTTGGCTGAGCGGGAATTATCAATTATGCGTCGTGAGTTGGAGATTGCTCGTAAGGAATTAGAAATGCAGCGTCGTGTCGTGTCGGGCATCCCATGTAGAACCTGCTTAAGGCCTTTCTCCAATAGGTTTTAAAAACTCTGCGTCTGCGTCGGTTGCTATAGCAACACATGCTAAAATCAACGCAACGCAGTCATTCGCAGACAAACGCAGAGTTTTTGGATCCTATTGGAGAAAGGCCTTTAAGTGATCTTACGGAAGCGTTTGAGAAAGTCACGTTGCGAGGACGGAATGTAGGTACATCTACATCCGTAAAAAATGACAATCGAAACGGTGGATCGCGAAAGTTAGACCAGCCTGTGAGAATTAGTGATAAAGACGAAAATAAAGTGCAAAGTTCAGTTAAACGTTGTTTCAACTGTGGAATGCGTGATCATTTAAGTTTGAATTGCCCTAACAGATCTCGCGGTTCTAAGTGTTTCTCATGCCAGGATTATGGTCATATAGCAGCCCATTGTCCCAAACAAGGTGATTCATCGAAAAAAAGCTGTGCGGTAGTGTTAACATCGGGTCGAAAACATCCAAAAGAAGTGTCTATCGCGAATCATTTGATGGAAGCACTGATTGATATTTCTATTATGAGGGAAGACGAATATATTAGAATTGGTGCTCCACAGTTACGGGCTAGTAGGATTAAATTTGAAGGTGTTGGTGAACACGTGGTTGGTCTATGGTGAACGAGACAATAGGAGAATTTGACACGAGAATTACTGTTGACGGATATGTTTATCCTATTCTCATACGTGTTGTCGCGAATGTGATCACGAGACATAATTTACTAATTGGAACTGACTTTTTGGACACTGTTAATTTAAATGTTAAGGTAGGTAGAGTTTCTATTACTCCGCTCGAAACATCTGGTCCCTATGATTCAGATGCTGCAGAGATACTAAATATTGTTGTGTCGTGTTTTGCCGAAGTGAATCAAGTTGACGTGTCGCACATTGCGAATGATTCGATTAAAAAAGATTTGCAAAAACTTATAGATGAATATAAACCAAATGAAACACCTGACTGTGAAATTGAAATGAAATTAATGGTGAAGGATGATGACTCAGTGTATTCGCCGGCAAGACGTTTAGCGCTGTTTGAAAGAAAAATTGTGAATGCTCAAATCGGTGAGTGGTTAAAGAAGAAAATAGCACGACGTTCTACATCGGCCTTTGCAAGCCCAGTGGTTTAAGTGCGAAAAAAATGGTCAATATCGATTGTGCATAGACTATAGACGGTTAAATAAAAAGATTATTAAAGATCGATATCCACTTCCACTAATAGAAGATCAGCTTGATCGCTTGCAGGGTGCAAAGCTTTTTTCCACTCTGGATTTGAAAAACGGGTTTTTTCACGTGATGATTAACGAAGAGAGTAAAAAATATACCGCGTTCATTGTGCCGGATGGGACGTTTGAGTTTAACAGAGTGCCGTTCGGCCTTTGTGACTCCCCTGCTGTGTTTCAACGGTACGTTAATACCGCGTTGCGCGAGGTGATCGAGGACGGTACCGTGATAGTTTATATGGATGATATAATCATTCCTCGATTGGAATGATCCAATCGACGTACATTCTGGGATTGAGCAGATTAAACGTGTGTTAAAAGTGTCAAGTGAAGCTGGACTGGATATTAATTGGGAAAAGTGCTGTTTTCTGGTAAAAAAAAGTCGAGTTCTTAGGACATATAATTGAAAAAGGTTCTGTCAGACCTTCGGAGTGAAAAACTGACGCTGTGCAGCGTTTTTCCGAGCCCAAAATTATTCAGCAATTACAAAGCTTTTTGGGGCTGAGCGGATATATTTTAGAAAATTTATCGCCGGATATTCTGTGATGGCAAGGCCGCTTACCCAGTTGCTGAGACCGAATGTAAAGTTTCATTTTGGACCTAATGGAAAACAGTCCTTTCAACAGTTGAAGGCTGTACTTGTCGCGAAACCTGTGTTAAGTTTATATCGTGTTGGTGCGGAAACGGAACTGCATACGGATGCATCGGAGTTGGATTACGGCGCGATTCTGTTGCAGAAAAATAGTGAAGATCAGAAATTGCATCTCATTTACTATCCAAGTGGTAAAACTACTCCTGCCGAGGAAAATTACACTAGCTATGAACTGGAAGTTCTTGCTATTGTTAAAGCGCTTAAAAAGTTTCGTGTGTATCTGCTCGGTATAGAGTTTAAAATAGTGACTGATTGCCGTGTATTTACCCTCACCATGAGTAAAAGGGACTTGTGTGTTCGTGTTGCGCGATGGGCGTTATCACTCGAAGAATTTAGATACACTATCGAGCATAGACCCGGTAAGAATATGACTCATGTCGATGCTCTCAGCCGGAATCCCCTCCCTCGTGCCTTGTCGTCGACGAATGTGAAGTGGGGTTACTAGCAGCATTAAGGAGAGCTCAGCAGGACGATCCCGAGTTACAGGAACTACGTGTTTCATTGGAAAAAAAGAAGATTTCCGGATATGTTCATCGAGGAGGACTCTTGTTCAAGGAAGATGGTGGTGAGACGAAGTTGATTGTGCCCAAGCGAATGCAAACGCAGATAATTAGACAAGCGCATGATAAAGGTCATTTCTCGACGTCGAAGACTGAGGCATTGGTAAAATCGAATTATTGGATGCCTAACTTAAAGTCTAAAACCGAATTGGTGATTAGGAATTGCGTGTCGTGTATTCTTGCCGAGAAGAAGACTGGAAAGCAAGAGAGTTTCCTGACGCCGATTGACAAAGGATGTATGCCAATGGATACGTACCATGTTGATCACCTTGGACCATTACCGTCAACAAAGAAATCTTATCAGCACATATTGGTTGTGATAGACGCATTTTCGAAGTTCACGTGGATGTTTGCTGTTAAGAGTACTAGTGCAGCTGATGTGATTTCCCGTCTGTCAAAAATGTCAACAACTTTTGGCAACCCGAGAAGAATCATATCTGACAGGGGAACGGCCTTTACTTCAAGAGAGTTTTCTAATTACTGTGAGGAGCAAAACATCGAACGCTCGCTAATCGTAACTGGTGTGCCTAGGGGGAACGGACAGGTGGAGAGGGTAAACCGAACTGTGATACCTCTACTTACAAAACTGTCTGCGCCAATATCAGCTGAGTGGTATAAAAACTTAGACACCGCTCAATTATATTTGAATACTACAATACACAGGAGTATTGGAACGTCGCCTTTTAATGTTCTTTTGGGAATTCGACCTCGCGTCAAGGACAATCCCGAGATTAGAGAATTATTGGAGAATGAATTCATTCATGCATTTCAGGAGGAGAGAGATGAACTTTGTGCCAGAGCAAGCAAGAATATCAAAAAAATTCAAGAAGAAAATCGATGAACTTTTAATAAAAAAAGGAAGGAAGCCAACGTTTATAAAGTGGGCGATTTAGTTGCAATAAAGCGGACTCAACAAGGACCAGGAACAAAATTTGCTCATAAAAATTTTGGTCCATATGAAATCTCAAAGGTGTTGCGAAATCATCGTTATTTGGTACACAAAGTTGGAGAACACGAGGGACCTATGGAAACATCGACTTCAGTTGACTTTATGAAACCGTGGATTAATTATGATGACCATGATTTAAGTGATTGTGATAAAATGGAATAGAATGTGTTTTATTTGAAAATTTATGTTTATTTTATTGATAGAGTTAACATTCGGGACGAATGTTGTGCAGGACGGCCGAGTGTAGTGTGGGTACATGTGCTACGGTAGTATTTGAGTGCCTTGGTAACGTGACAGTAATTACTTTGACTAACATTTTCATTTCCGTATATAAAATGTGATTGATTCGAAATGACATGCGTGAGATTGTAAAGTGTGATAAGAGAGTCTTGTGCGAGCTGTCGCGATGATCAGTTGTTGTTTTATGACGAGAATACTTTGCGTGTTGAACTTTTAAGAATGTGTAAATTTCCATTTCCAAACCTTTGTATATTTTAATTGGAATCAATAAATGTCATCTTAACTGAAATCCTACATATAATTTTTAAACATATTGCAGTAAGTTCGTACATAAAAACTAAACATTTTTCTCTTTGGAACCCCATCTCTATAACTAACTGTTTCTGAGATATTCCATTTGTAACAACTGCACAGGGTAACAACCGCACCTAGTCTCCCCTACCTTATACAACGATTGTGAGATGGCTTTCCCGCACTAATAATAAGTCGCAAGGGAATTTCCCACGTGCTTTTAATATAAACTAACACTAATAGTAACAATAATAAACATTATTTTAATTTGTCAGATTTCTCATTTAGTAAATTAATATATTGTATATTTTTCAGACATTATTTCTTATAGTGTTTTAAAGATTAACGAGAAAAAAATTATTGAAACTACACCGAAAAAAAATATTCTTGTTTTGAAAGGACAATTCCTCTTCTAAAATCCTCTTACATTTTATTCTTGAATTAAGAATATTTTACTCTTCATTGGAGACTATTCCTCTTCTTTTAAGAGGAATTACTCTTGAGTGGAAAATAATCCTCTTAAAATAAGTGGACGTTTTTTGAGCCATATACAATAAGAGGAAAATATGCATTGAAATAAGAGGAATCCTCTTAAAACCAGAATTTTTTTTTCAGTGTATTCAAAAACACATTTTTTGGAAGCCTTTACCCCAAGTTTTATCAAAATTCTCTATTTTTGATATTGTCTGGTAAGCTTGCTATGATTATTTTATAATATTAATATATATATATCCGTTATAATCCGTTATCAAAAATAAAAAAATTGTGCAAGCCTGTTTAATCATTATTTTTATTATTATAATTGAGAATGAATAAAATAAAATCATTATAAAAAAACTTGTAAGAAAAATGATAAAAAATGTAAATTTTATTTTTTTTTAAAGTGCCAATGAAAGGAGAATTTGCTTTCTGAAAAAAATGTCGAAACTTTAACGAAGGTGTTAGAAAGAGAAAGTGGCTTACTTGTATGGTTTAATTTTAGGACATTTGCATGCCAAGTCAGCACTGTGAACGTAAAGTGTAATTGGACCTCGTTGAATTCTAGAGTCTCGGTTTCGTTTGTATATGAGAATGACGTCCAGAGGAAATTGTACCCAGGAAGAACCTGGTGCAACTGCATCATTTCGCGGTCCATCGCTCTTCTGATATCTGTCCGACACTTTAACCAGAATCGCTGTAAGAGAGAATATCTTCATTAATTGGACTACATAATATAATAAAGGTTTTCTTGTTTAAAAAAATAGGTAAAAATTGTTTTGGCGAAATTCCAAATTCTATGATTGTTATTTTTATTCTCACCCATCCCTCTCAAGTGCCTGATACAACGCCTAATGTAGCCTTACAATATCTCTGATTTATATTACACATCAAGGCATACCAAGCCAATTATTGGCTTTGTTATCGTTCACTGGGCAATCGATCCAGTCACGTCTCTTTATTAGATGCGTTACTTCCCGTATTTTATTAGGACAAAAAACTATGCAAAAATTCCTCATATACAAAGGCTACTTATTATTGTCTGTAGTAATAATAAAAAGTTAAATTTATTTCATAAAATGAAAAAAAAACTTTTCAAGTTAAAAACCAACTATTCGTGTAAATTTTTTGTTGTTGAAAACCTTTTAGTTCTTTGACATTTTTTCCCCTTTGGTTGTGTTTGAATTTTTTTGTCTTCTTTTTACGAAATGTGCGTAAAGCGCTATTGAAAAATGAAAAGCGCGTTTAGTGTTCGCCCTCTGTGTTTCAATAATAGAATGGCATGCTTTAGAGTCCAGGTGAAGAGGCCTTTTCTCCCTCTACCTCTCTTTCTCTCTCGATTCACTAGAGATAAATCTTGGAGAAGTCCACACTTAACTGTCGACTTGGAATAGATTTTAAAGGCATCCGCCAATCTTGCAATTTTCACTTGCCGCTTCGCTTACATTAGAATTGCAACACTTGCTCGACAAGTTGTCGCACAACGTCAAGCACCTAGTACAATTACAGGCCAGACCCCCGATTAACTAGATTTATGGGAGGGCTCGATTAAGGTGAATGGCGTTCTTCGAAAATAAACGATTCATTGATAATTTCGTACGTGAAACAATTCACGCGCGTTCACAGAAATTCATTGTAAACTATTTATCTTATCTTTAGATTCATTTTTCCCCGCTTATAGTGATTTACAATTTTTTATAAATAAACGTTTTATGGCTTAGACAACTTAAATGTTCCATTTGATTTCTATGCCCATGACTATACTAGCTTAAGAGTCCAGTTCAAAATTCCCAAAATTGAATCAATAAGATTTCTGTTTGCTGACCTCTATTTTCTTTTCAAAGTAATTAATGGAATTGTAATATGTCCTTCTGTATTAACTCTAATCAATTTCCCTGCTCCTATACGACGTTTGCGATATATTACTCCGTTTTACAATTCATTCCATAGAAGAAATTATGGCAATAACTCTGTATTTAGAAGACATTGTTATACTTTAATTTAATTAATTATATTAATTAATTTAATTAATTAAATAAAATTAATTAATTTAATTAATTTAATTTTTTAGTTATACTCAGCAATTTAGCTTGCAACTTGTTTTTTGCTTTGATAATTTGCATTTCACCCATGCCTATGGCTCTGTAAATTTAGTTTATATTTATGTAAGTAAATTTTAAAGGGTCTTAATTGTTACTTGTTTATGTCATGAATAAAAATAAATAAATAAACTACTAAAATTATATAAAATTGTCTAACAACACATTCTATGCGCTTGATTAACTTTTAATTAGTGTTGTTGAAACTGGTCCTAAGTCAGTTAGAAAGCAATAATTATTGTTCTATTACATTATAATGAATATATTGGTGCCAAAAATCTTATTTATATTTTGGGCCTTGCGTAAACGTTTTTCGGGTTTAATTCGAAGAAACTTAATTTTAGAAAAAAAGTTTATTAATGCTTTTTTACTTTACTTGTCTAGCAGAATTCAGCACAACTTTTATTTTTTTTAAATTTTATGTTTTGAAGTTGATTTTTAATTTTCGGATTTTTTCCTTAAATTTTTATTTTTTTAAAAATTGTTTTGCGGCACAATGCAGAAAATTATTATAGGAACCCTGCACAAGTGAAATTTTTAGAAAATTAAAGGTATTTTGGGCCTGATAATGGCTTTTGTTGATTTTTGGAAAAAAGATAAAGTTTTTCAAAAAACTTTTTGCGGCACAATTGAGCACAAACCTAGCACAATTCAGCACAAGTTTCGTTTTTTTTAAATTTTTAGTTTGCGGTGCCAACTTCCCGGACAACGTTTATTCTCTTATTCCGTTAATGGCACATACCCTAAATCAGTTCCAATTAATCCAAAGTGATCACCAGACAATTAATAAAACATAAAATAATTTATTTAAAATTGTTACAAACAATGTTAATTAACAAATAGATAACTTTGATTCCTCTCCACTAAAAAATGTTTTTTTACACATTTTCCTGTTAATTTAAGTTAATTTCAAGAATATATGTCCTTTTTGTTTAAAAATTAACTTATTTAAATTGTTATAAACAATATTAATTGAAAAATAGTTAACTTTGACTCCTGTTCTCTAAAAAAATTTTTTTTTCACGTTTACTTTTTTATTTACGTTCATTAAAAAAATATGTGTCCTCAATGTTAAAAAAAAACTTATTTTAATTGTTATAAACATATTAATTAACAAATAGTTAACTTTGATTCCTCTGCACTAAAAACATTTTTTTTACGCTTACAGTTTATTTAGGTTCATTTAAAGAATATATGTCCTCCTTGTTTAAAAAATAACTTATTTTAATTGTTATAAACATTATCAATTAACAAATACTTAATTTTATTATTTATTTATTTAACCCTAAATAAAAAAGTAAACGTAAAAAATAAATTTTTGTAGTAAAGAGGAATCAAAGTTAACTAATTGTTAATTAATATGTTTATAACAATTAAAATAAGTTATTTTTTAAACAAGGAGAACATATATTCTTTAAATGAACCTAAATAAAAAAGTAAACGTGAAAAAAAATTTTTTTAGTCAACAGGAGTCAGAGTTAACAATTTTTCAATTAATATTGTTTATAACAATTTAAATAAGTTACTTTTTAAACAATTAAACAAAAAGGACATGGCTGTTTCTATTTCAATTCATGCAGGGCGAATAGGTTGAAGATTCTAAATCAAGTTTAATATGATTTTTCTTGTTTTTTAGGACAAATAAAGAGATACGTATTTTTTGGTTTGGCGAAAAAAAAATTTTTCGCAGAGTTATGAGTATTTGAAAATTTTAAGGCACATAGTGATTTTAGAGCTAAACAGCTGAAAAATTATTTTTAAATCTTTCTAGTTTTTACAAAAATCAATATTTTTCAATTCTGTTTCTTGATTTTAGTAGTATTTTTGATACTCTTTCTTTATAAAGTTGAAAATTTAAAAAATTTTGAAAATTAACAAAATGGCGGCCATTTTTTAAAAAATCAAAAAAGTCAATTTTCTCAAAAACATCATTTTTTAATTTTCTGCAAATTTTTGTGTGGTTTCTAGATGGAACAAGGAACTTTTTCCAAAAGGTCTCAGGTTCGCTAAAACTTTTTGGAAGTCGCTATAATTTTTTTTAGAAAATTAAAAAACTCATTATTTTGAGAAATGTGTCGACATGTGTGGACGTCCACATGAAAAGGGCCCATTTTGGCACTATTGGAGTTATCTATATGGGCGTATTCCTGGCAAAATTTGGAAAATTTTTTAGTGGTCTTAGAACTTTTTTGGTTAAAAATTCGCTGAGTTACGGAATTTCAAAGTTCAGGACGCCAAAAACCTCATTTCGAGAAAAACGGAATTAAAGATTGCGATACCAACTAATTGTTGTATATCTGTTTCTTCTTGGAAGTTATTCAGATAAGAATTGTTTCCAGTTCAGGGCACTTTGAAGATAAAAAACCAACAGGTTTTTAATTTTTAAAACCACCCCCCCCCCCCCTCTTAATTTTGAAAATACGAAAAATCGACAATATGGACCCTTTTCTAAAAAGGACAGTTTTTTTTATTAAAAAAAACATTTTTTACAAGATTAATGATTAGGTACAATTTTATTGTGTCATTTGAAGAAAAAGAATGTATACACGCAGAAAAATCCGATTGAAAATTGTGGAGTTCAGTGTTAGTAATTTAGATTTCATTCCCAAACTTGTCTACCTTTGCGGCTCCAAAATAGAAAACAGGGAAATGAATCGTAAATGGTTTAAAGCACGTCAGTAGGCTTAAAATGTTTTCGTTCTTATGCACACTTATACGCGGAACAAAGCACACTAAACACATTGATAGGCGCTTCTGGGCGGAGTCCAAGGCAAGTCTAGTGCCGAGTCCCATACTGAATATAATGTGAGCAGATCTTCTAGTGACCTACATCTCAAAATATTTACTTTTATTGGAATATTCAATTTGAAACTAAATATAAAATCGAAAAATGAAACAACTGAAAATATTAGAATACTTTGAATTTTATAAAACTTCTCACTGGGATTTTTATTATTCTTTAGATATTTAAACGTAGAATCTCTTTAAAAATTAAATACAAGTCCTTTGCCATTTTTACTAAAATGATCTATCTGTTTTAAAACGTTTAAAGAAAGAGATTTTATTTAAATATCTACAGATTAAATAAAAATTCCAATGCGAAGATTTTTAAAATTCAAAGTATTCTCTATTTTTTTAAAAATTATTTCATTTTAGACTTTACATTTAGTTGCCTAAATTAAACATTACAATAAAATATAATAACAATTAGGCATTGCATAACCGGCTAAAAACAAAATAAACACACACCTAACCTCAAAATGAGATCAAACATTTCACATAGATATCCTTCTACATTCATTTGTAGCACTAGAACTTTATTACAAAACTGCACTCACTATTATATTTAAAACTAAAATTTTTATTAATTGAAACAATTAATACACTACGAACTACACCGAGACTTCCGTGTATATCAAAAACGAAGAAACTGAACAAACGCGGGCGCAGACGCGCCGCAGAGTTTCGCATTCCTAAAAACTGTTTGGGAATGAATCTAAGGACTCTCGCACAGAACAGTCCCCGTTTAAGTGAACGTTGATACAAAGTTTGTAACAATTGAGTAGCTGAATTAAAATAAATGCAAATAATAATAATT